CTACCGATCAGCGCGACGATCGGAATAAAGTATTGAATCTTATGTTGAATCCATGTATATAAATAGCTATGGAGAAAATGCGTTAACTGCTCTGCTGGAAATCCTGGACTGAGGCGAGGATATCCTGGAATCACAACGGATCGATAGGGAGTCGTTAACAAGACTAATAAAATTGACAATAAGGACAACCTATTTTACATACGGGACAATCTATGAACAGATAGTTGAACTTCCCACGGGATCGCTGCTCTCATCACTTTTGGTAAACATATAAATGAACAAATTAGAAGAGAACTTCAAAATGTCACCGCTACGACCAGTAGTGCTCATGCGGTGCTGGATGCTTACTTCGCACTTTGGTGACATGGAAGAGAAAAAATGAAGATCTTCTGAAGTTTATAAACTAGATCAATGAAAAAATTAAATTCATGATGGATGTAGTTGAGCGGTTACTTTTCCTATACGTTGAAGTGATTCGTTCTGAGACGCACAAAAAGAAATTAAGAAAGAATTTTCATGCCGGGATAATACTGTATTTCCAGTCCCATCATAATTACAGGCTAAAGATCAGCATAATGAGGAACATGATCATTAGAAGCCTACGATTAACAGTGGAATTATGGGATGAATGATTGGACAAATCCACTCAAATATGAATCGGCAATGGCTACCCAAGCGAAGCAACTTGTCCATCCTTTCATTCTGCAGAGATAGACTTGTGAAGAGCGTAGGAAAATCAGCATACAAATCAAAGGACACACATGATCACCCTGAGGACATACCTTTAGACAAGTGGAATGTAAACAAGTCAGAAGTGACATAAGAAGGCAAGGAGTAGATAGATGGTACGTGACGGCAAGAGGAATGATAGCGCAATCCTCTCGGCATACAGTTGGGTCAAGGGTTTAACTTCGCTTGTCTTTGACGCGTTGTAACTTAGTATTGAGAATGGCAAGACCTACCGATAACGACTACGACGCTGGCGAAGCGTCTGAGAACGTGCCAAGTACGTAGGGTGACGTTGGGAGTCGTGATAACTTCTATGACAGAGGACTTTAGACTAATTGTGTCATCCTGATAACATGTTGCAAAAATAAGGTCAACCCAATTGCATACATCGAAACGAGTCTGTGACCATAGTCTTGGCCTTCAAATCTTCAAGCTAGGGTACCTACTTAATGTTGTCTCTTCCTATTTGAGATTTAAAATTTGGGATATCATTCGTTATTAATTCATGGAAGTTTAGTAGATAATAGCATACATCTTGAAGGATAGGTAACGAAGCTTTCATTGTACGAAGGATTATAAACCTTAGAATTTAGTTATATTACAAAAAATCGTATCTAATTAACGAATGGGACTAACCACTATACGTGAAATATTATCACAATATCATCTGATTTACAATCCTATTTACTCGTCCAAACTAATTGATTTGGTTAATCACGACATACGCCACGTTAGGGACTAGGCTGGCTCTTTCTTATTCATATTTTTTGTGGAAGATAATTACTCTCCAGGCTTTCCGATATTCTCTAATGCTAATCAGACTTAGTTATCGCGGGTCTACTGAACGAACCCACATGTGTCGAAGACAACGTTGATGATTAGTGGAAATACTATAACATTAATGATGATATTCAGCAGCTTATCCTTTACTTCGCCCATACACAGAGGTTTCCTCTGCATCATTAATAAGTTGCGTCATCTGTAGTTTGATAAGCTGCCATCATGCCAAAGATAGCCTCTTCATAGAGTCCGACTCTTTGACGAGTTGTTATATGGTGCTAAGAATGGTGATATTCACTGACAATGCCGACGAAACGTCTGGGAATGCACCACGTCCAGGGTCCTACTCTGAAAATGGCCATGCATACAATGTAGTAGGTGCGTTCCTCTAAGTCTTCCTACCTATATTACCAAGTTGCGAAAACAAGGTCAAACTTATATACAAAGAAAAGAGACTACAACCACACAAAAGGCCACACTAGCTTGGTCTTCAATAATTGTTTAAATGCATACATTTAGATGACGCAATTAAGCAAAATTTTTTTTCAATTCAGGATCGAATACTATTCCGGTCAAGGAAATCAGAAGAGCTTACGTGCATCGACTACAACCACATACCAACAATAAAATCTTCTGATCATAGGCCAGTCTATGGTATCTACGCAGTAACTATAAAGCCGGGCCAAGATAAGTAAGTCGATTTTGAGTGCGCTTCTTTACAGGATATGTATAAACTAAATACATAATGCTAATATGAGGCAATTGTACCTCACATATTTTTATATTAAGTTTGACCACAGGTGGCTTAACTAGTAACAGTATTTGACTATTTACTACAATAAATCTAAATGAAATAAACCAATACCTACACCTAATAAATTTCAGCATTGCTCTGCTGGCGGGTGCATTCGAGAGAGATGTTTACATCGCTGGTGAGTTTAGCCATCGGGCAACTTGGACATGGGCATTAGAAATAATAATCTTTTCAATACATTGTAGGAAATCGTCGTAGAGCTCTTCGCTTCGATCTGGCCGGCCATCTACCAGCAAACAAGGAAAGCAGGATTTGCGAAATACAATAGACGAAACTTATGGCCACCAGTCTTTCAAAGCTGTATACAAGTCAAACCATGTTTATTAAATTTATTTTGTAAACGGTGGCGGCCCCTCCGACCTTAACAAGTGATATAAACCGTACGAAAATTTGACTCATTCAAGACAATAAGGTAATAGGCGACAGATCAAATTTACAAGCTCACAAAATACGCTGATAAGCTAACCTGAAAAATATAAAGAACAAGTGCCTAACTGAAGAGCAATGATGCGATATTCATTCGCATATCCAGATAGTTTATTAATTTTTTAGGATCTCCTTGATGAAATGGCTCGAAGCCGGCATCTTGAGGCAATGTCTGAGGGCCAAGTAGATGACACAACTCACGTTGTTGAAGCTTATAAACAAAAGATGATACAGGCTTAACAAATAGAAATACATAATAGATAAAGAAAGCGCATAATCTCTGACCTGTATAGGATAGGACGGATCAACGCCTGAGACACCGGTAAGAAAAAAATTTATTAGATCATCCGGAGTGGTTACAATTGCATGTTTTCCTGCGGCTAAAGTAAAAGCCAACTCAGCTTGATGATTTCCCATAAGGTTTTGATTCATAGCAATGATGACTTTGCGGCGTCCTGGGGGACTAAGTGCTTCCAGACACGTGCCCGCTCCCCCATGGGTTATCAACATATCCGAGCGTGCTATGTCAGATAATAAATCTGATTTATATCGGTAAGAGGAAATTGTAAGTTTGGGAACAATAA